AATTGCCTGCAAAGTGTTATTTTACACCACTAATAAAACTCAGCGATGAAAAAGTCACTTTCCAAACAATTAAAAAGGAAAAGTAGCAAAAATGTATTTTTGAAGGACACAATGTTATTCCCCTATAATTTACACAAGCTAACTTGTAGTATGTGTCCCATATTGAGACACAAAGAGTCGATATCGCTCATACTAAGGTTTAAACTCATGATCCACATTTGAAAAAATCACTTCATACCACTAAACTACACAATTTACATATTGAATGTTCACAATTTTGTAAAAGGTAAATTGTGAAAATTTATATGTAAATTGAAAACATTAAATATATAAATTGTGTATTTTATATTTGAGTCCACCTTCCAAAGTGGTCCTGGGTCCATGGTATAACTATTGAACTAAGACGATGCGAAAAATATTGGGCCAAACATATGAAAGGCCCAATCCATTAAAGAAGAGAGAGACAGAGAAAGCCCAGAAAAGCAAGTGAAAGTTGAAGGCAACCAAATCGTAACGACTTATCTTCAAACTCAAAATATGGTTCCCTCCTTCTCCACCAAACTTATCCATTTCATTCCATCAAAACAAATGTCAGAATCCCAAGCTGAAGAAGACTTACCAGAGAAAGAAATTGGCAACCAAGGCCTCAAGAAAAAGATTCTCCGAAAGGGAAACTCATGGCAGACTCCACTTCCTGGTGATGAAGTCCATGGTATTTATGTTTCTTCTTTTTCACTTTTTTTTTTTTGAGAGAGACCAAGAAAACCGGTAGCTACTACTCGAGAGTGTGTACTAAGTAAACCTGTATTCTGACTTTAGAAGGCAAAGAATCACAAGGAAGAAACTAATTAGGAGTCGAAATCGTAATATTGTAGTTATCAAGTTAACGGTCTGACCAACTTGGTTGTGTTTTCCATGCAATGAAAACTTTCTCCGTTTTACTATTATCCCATTTTCTTGGGTTGGTTTCAACATTTGGTTTCAGTTCATTACAGTGGAAAGCTCCATGGCAATGGAGAATACTTCGATTCAAGCCGTGAAAAGGGAGCCCCTTTCACGTTCAAATTGGGGCAAGGTAACTACCATTTCTTGAAGAGTTTTCCAGAAACTAATGCAGTTTGTGTATGGAGCATTTTAGGTGGGTATGTTTATTTCTGGTTTCAGGTGAAGTTATAAAAGGGTGGGATATTGGGATTGCTACAATGAGAAAGGGAGAAAGAGCATTGTATACTATTCCTCCATGTTTGGGTTATGGGAAGGCTGGCTCTCCGCCCATTATTCCTCCGGATTCCACTCTGCTTTTCGACATAGAAATGGTGTCATGGAAGTCAATCAGAGACGTCGCCGCCGATGGAGGAATATTGAAGAAGATTGTCAGGGAAGGTGAAGGGTGGGCTACTCCTAGAGATGCTGATCAAGTTCTTGGTAAATTTCCTTCTTGTACTCCCTCGAATCCAAGACATTTTTACATACGGTATGATATCTGCATCCCATGAGATCAGACTAGGGATGGCAACGGGGCGGGGCGGGGGCGGGGGCGGGGAATGGGGTCCCCGTCCCCGTCCCCGAAATGTCCCCCCATTCCCCGTCCCCGCCCCGTTCCCCAGCGGGGATTTTTCGGGGACGGGGAATTCCCGCCCCGTTTTGATTCATGCTTACTTTTTTTTTTTTATTATTATTTTAAAAAACACACATAATATAATATGCATTCTTAACAAAACTAGAGAAACACAGTTTTGTTAAGGAAAAATCTTAAATCGCAAAGATGAAAAAAAAAAATCATCTACTAATACCATGAGAATATGCAGAGATAGAGAATGAAGAATATAATACATTGATGTTCAATAATAATTTAAACAAATAAACATAGCCTATTTATACAAGATATATGTACGGTATTACGGTAACAATGAACATAAAATGTATGTACCTAAACTAGAATACTAATTACATGGAAATTCAAGAATATGATTAAATATATACAAGAGAGATATTAATTTATATATAATATTAATATTATTAGTCAGGGATTCAAGGACGGGGCGGGGATCGGGGATCGGGGTCGGGGCCGGGGCGGGGAATGCCCTCCCCGTCCCCGGCGGGGATTGGAAAATTCCCCCCCATCCCCGCCCCCGTTCCCCGAAATAAATCCCCGAACCCATCCCCGTCGGGGCGGGGAACGGTTTTCCCCATCGGGGGCGGGTTCAATTGCCATCCCTAGATCAGACTGATCAGTCAAGTTTGGATTCAGCCTCATTCGAGAACTAGATAGGGTCTCAGTGAGTCAGAATTCAAGACTCCCATTCTAGAACAACTGTCCCAAGGGTCTAAGTAATGAGATGAGACTAATCAGTACATACGGTATGTATGATATCTACATCCCATGAGATGAGACTAATCAGTCAAGTTTGGATTTAGCACCATTCGAGAACTAGATAGGGTCTCAGTGAGTCAAAATCCAAGACCCTCATTCCGGAACAACTATCCCAAGGGTCTCAGTAAGTCAAAATCCAAGACTTTTTTACATACGATATAATATCTGCATCCCATGAGATGAGACTAATTAGTTGAGTCTGGATTCAATCCCATTCAAGAACTAGAGGTCTCAGTGAGTCAAAATCCAAGACCCCCATTCAGCATTTGGGAACAACTATCCCGAGGGTCTCAGTGAGTCAGAATCCAAGACTTTTGATTGGCCAGAACGAGAGGGTCTACTGGCATGATCTCTTCCCGCAAGATGCAAATACCAATGCAAAAAGTCTTGGATTCTTGATCAAACAAAAAGAAGCATTTGTAATTGGGTTTGATTTTATGGCATATCTGGCTTGCAGTGAAGTATACCATGAGGACTGAGAATAAGGAAGATGTTGTTTCTGAATCTATTGATGGGGTGGAATTTTCCCTAACAGAGGGTGAGTTAAACTATGACACAGATTAAATTCTTCCCTTTAAGAATTTTTGACATTTTTTGCTGCCATTAGGATTTCTCTGCCCAGCCATGAGTAAAGCAGTAAAGACAATGAGAAAGGGGGAGATTGCAGACATATCAGTGAAGCCTTTTTGTGAGTACTAGAATTTTGTCTGCACTGTCTTGTCCTTTTGAAAAAAGTGAAGTAACTTATAAAAACATAAATTCCAGATGGCTTTGGAGCTCTTACAAATGAAAACACAAACACAAACTCCATTATTGGTAGCATTCCACCAACTTCAAATTTAAGTATCCATCTTGAACTGGTGTCATGGAAAAGCGTCACTGATGTAATGGGCGATAAGAAGGTTCTCAAACAATTGATCAAAGCGGGCGAAGGCTATGACCGTCCTAACGAAGGTGCCCTTGTAAAAGGTAAACTAAACAAAAGGTTTCGCGATCAAATCCCTCTGTACGTTAAAAAAAAATGGCTTCTTCTCTCACATTTGTGTATTGTGTTTATGCATCAAAGTGGTGTGCATTCGTAAGCTGGAAGATGGAACAATTACGGAAAGAAAAGGGTCAGATCAAGAACCTTTCGAGTATCTATGTTTAGAAGGTAACAAGAAGCTCTTGCGTTTCTCTCCTGTCAGATGCCCAGTTTGCAGATTGATAACTGTGTTGCAGATCAAATCATTGAGGGTTTGGATCGGGCAATCATGACTATGCGAAAAGGAGAGGAAGCACGAGTTAGAATCTGCAGTGACTACTTCCATGGCTGCAAAGAAAAGACAACAGAATTATCTCCATTGATTTATGAAGTCAAGCTTCTTGACTTCACCAAGGTACTCGATGCAAAATTTATCTTATGATGCGTATGAGCAAGTACCTTCATTGGCCAAGTCGATATGATGTTCCCTTTGACACAGGAGAAGCCATTTTGGAAGATGGAAACACGGGAGAAAATCGAAGCTTGTGAGAGAAATAAGCAAGAGGGGAACCTTCTGTTCAAATCTGGGAAGTTCCAGCATGCCTCTAAGAAGTATGAAAAGGAATGTGGTGTGAAGAAATTCAACCAACTAATGAAAACGTCGAATTCCAGCAATAAACATTCTACCCGATAATCTTATATGCTGAAGTGTGTCATCTTTACCTTATGCAGGCATCAAAGTACATCGAGTTTGATCACTCTTTCACTGCAGATGAGAAGCGCCAGGCAAACGCATTGAAGTTATCCTGCAGTTTGAACAATGCTGCATGTAAATTGAAACTCGAAGACTTTTTAGAGGCTTCAAGATTATGCAGCAAGGTCCGTTCACCCTTTCCTAATCGTCTTTAATAGAAAACTTTCTCTAGCAAGAATCTCGATAATTGATATATGACTTTGATAAATGCAGGCTCTAGGCATCGATCCGTGTAATACCAAAGCGCTCTTCAGAAGGTCTCAGGCATACTTGAGAATGTCTGAGCTCGAAAAGGCTGAAATTGACATCAAGCAAGCTCTAGCCCTGGATCCAAACAACAGGTTTGTTAATCTTACTAGCTTAATTTCTAGTTGAGACAAAACACATCATTCAATTTGGTATCAGATCGAATACCATTTTTGTTTGTCTGCCAGAGATGTGAAGCTTGTGCACAAGGAGCTAAGGCAAAGACAAAAGCAATATGAACAGCATGAAGTCAAATTTTTCAGTGCCATGCTATCCAGGATAGAGTAGTATGACTTCATTTGCAGTGATTTTACAGAAATATTCATAACAAAATTGCAGTTAGATCAAAACATATACAAAAAGTTGTATTTTATTTAATTAGAGCATAAATGTTTACAAATGACATTTTGTGAAACTTGGTACATAAAAACACCTAAAGATGGACAAATATTATTAAAATTTTAGAGATATATATATACACACAAGTTCATTGCATAAATTGAAGTCATCTATTGGTAACTATGAGTGTAAAGGCAAACACACACACTAAATACAGTATTGATAGCAAGGTTGAAAAAATCGCTAGGCGCCTGGGGACCGCCTAGGGCGCCTAGAGCGATTAATCGGCGCCTAGGCCCGATTTTTGCAACACTGATTGATAGAGTAGCAGGTGATGCTCGACATTATTGAACTAGTAAGTATTCATGAGTAGTCTTGCTCCATATGATCCAAGTAAAACTTTCCCTCGATGTTCATACTCAGAATAACCTTAAACTTCTCTTCCTTGATCCCCCTTCTGACTTTCAAGAGCAATTCAAACTTGACGTAATTCTCAATTACCTGCATTCCGTGAACACGGCATAATCAGCTGTTTTCAAGACTTTCTGTGGGAGTAGATTGTAGAAAATAGAAATGCATATACATGGCAGGCAGACAGACAGAACGAGGGAGTAGAGAGTAAGTGCATAGCTTAACGTCACAATTCAAAGCAAAATCTGCCTACCTTTGCCTTGGCCAAAAGGATATGTAGAAGTTCATAGGGATTCAAAGAGTTAGACCTCTGCTCGATGGTTTGCACAGCATAATGTGCAGCATCGTGGACCACTAGATCATGTCCATCTGATTTAACGCAAACACATAACCTCGAACAAGAAATCCCTGTTCTGTACATAAGAAGCTTTACAATTAATTACCTTTGTTTGATGCCAATGTCAGAGGTGGTAAATGAAGGGACCTCATGGGCACGCTTGGATTCATGCAACTGTTTGAAGCTCATCCATGGCTTCACACAAACTTTAACTTAATATTCACCATGGAGCAAACATACAAGAAGCTTAGCAAGTAATAAGTAACAAATAGATAAGAGACACTAATGCAATCAGAATCGAGCAAACACATAACCTCGAACAAGAAATCCCTGTTCTGTACATAAGAAGCTTTACAATTAATTACCTTGTTTGATGCCAAGGTCAGAGGTGGTAAATGAAGTAAATGAAGAGACCTCATGGACACGCTTGAATTCATGCAACTCTTTGAAGCTCATCCATGACTGCTCACAAACTTTAGCTTCATACATCCTTTTCTTACCAGCATCAATCACCTCCAAAGTAAGATGATACATCATACCAGCAACAACCTGCTGTTTGGCACTGACAACTCGCCCAAACTCAAGAAGGGCATTCTGTTCATAATACAAGCATCCTTAATACCAAGGAATTTCTTAAAGTTACAAGTTATATTCCTAGCGGAGTGATCTATTGACCTTCTTGGTTTGAGCCCATAAGCTATAGACAAACTAGGTTGGTTTATAAGGATCCTTTGTCATTTAAGGTCACAAGACAGGGTTTACCTGTACACACTCCAATAGTGATTGCCACTAACTGGGAATTTACCCTATGAACACACTCAAATAGTGGACGCGGGTTTACTCAAAAAAGAATTTCTTAATGTAACACTCAACATCTAAAACGCATAACACCACATGAAACTATGAATCAAACACTAATCCTTATAAAAATAAAAATAAAAAAAGAAACATTTTCAAGCAGTCAAAACAATAGGACGGCAATTATTAAACGAAAAAACAAAAAAAAAAAACAAAAAACAAAAAATAAAAGTACCTGTTTTTTGTTGTGCTCCAACACAGCGAATCGACCAAGGCTCGATACTTTTCCATCGTTTGGGTTCCCCTTATAGTTGTATAGTCCGCCCAGAAGAGGCCCAGCAGAGGGAGTTGTGCTGCTCCTCATTTGTATCACTTGCTCTCAGCTGAAAACCCTAATCGGAAGATCCTCAGTAGGCAAAGTAGAACAAAGCAGAGAGAAGAATTGAACTTATAATGTGATGGATATATTGGAAATGGCCAGACAATAATAATAGGGTCCGGGAGTGCATAACGGACAAATTATATGGTGCACCGCTGTGCATAATTGATTATGCATCGCAAACTAAAACGATGTCGTTTTGTTTAATGAAAATAAATGGTATCTGTTTATTGTCGTTCCGCACTCTTCCGCAAAAATAACTCTGTTATTCAGTTTCATTTTGTATACACTGCAGTTTCGATTCAACACAATTATAGTTTTATTTTGATATAACAATAGCTTCATTCGATATTTATAGACTCAAATATATGAAAATGCGCGCTCCGTTAAAACTAACGGCGCCGTTTCAACCGCGGTGTACTTGCACCACGGTCCATGATATAACGACTGAGCATAACTCGAGCAATCCAAGAAGATGGTCCGAGTGGCTCAAGTTGAGTTTGAAGCCGGCCTCCGACTCAGAATAATGGGCCTTGACTTAGTCTTGCGGCTCACTCATAGGGCTTGACTTAGTCTTATGGCTCATCGTGAATTTAGCATGTTAGTTAGAATTTATTCTATATAAATAAGCATGGTACAATTATTATAGCATCCTCATCTTCATTTACTTGGTCTAGGTATACATTGCATTCAATCCCACCTTGTAATCCACTTACAATTTCACTATCAATACAAAATTGTCCTGCGACATATATTTTTTTCACCATTATTTTATCTTGGCTATCCATTTATTATTTCATTTATTTATCGGATTTAATAACTCGGACTCACGGGTTAATTAAATACATCATTGGTCTTATTGTTAAGAGCGGTTGTATAGGCTCGAGCGTGCTATCTACTTCTGGTCTAACATGACTACCACGATCAACTACCATGTAACTTTTATGATCTTCTTCCAAATGCAAAACAGGGACCAGATCGCCCTGTCCAAGAACTTAATCTTGTCCTTGTCCGTTCGTTTCTCGCACTCTAGCGCAATGCGCACTACCCATGACTTATATTCGTCCGCATGCAGCGTCTGAGTTTGCATGGCCCTTTTCACCACCAGTTGTTAGATTTTTCAACATGCAGAGATCAAGACTATGGTGAAAGCTAAGCTCCATATGAGATCTAGGTCAATGTTGCAAAACACACTAGGCGCCCCCTAGGCGCCAAGGGGGCGCCTAGGCGCCGATTTTTTTTTTTTTTTAAATTAAAAATAAAATAAAAATTTAAAATTTTTAAAATTTAGTAATAAAATATAAGGTTTCCATAGTTATTTCTTAGAAACTATTTATGAAAGTGGTTGTAAAAGTGTTCAAAAGATTGTTTAAACCATCTAAATACATAAAAAAACTAAAATTAAGAGCTAAAGAAGCATTTTTTTGAGAAATTAGTGGACCAAAACGCGATTTGAAAAAAAAATACGCGATTTGAAAAAAAAAATTGACCAAAACGGACAACCGAGTCAAAAGTTATGCATTCCGAAACTTTTCCGACATTTAAAAAAAAAAAAACGCCGAACCGCCAAACCGGCCGGTTAGGCGGCCGGCCGCAGAGGCTGTTCCTCGCGGCGGCGCAATGGCGCCTAGCGCCTAGGCGCGATTTTTGCAACATTGATCTAGGTCGACGATAGGCTTCGAGTAAGCCCAATCGCTCTTCCTCTCCTAGATTTGCTTTGTCGTTGCCTCGTAGAACAACGTCGACGGCTCCCGCATCGTCCTCCAACAAATGGCTTGCCGCAGGAACTAACTCGCCCTTCGTAGGCTCGGAGAAGAGCGCATGATTGTATGAATTGCCGGTTTTGTGTCCACTCCATGTCCCCCCGTCGCCACAACTCTGTGAGTCTTCAACAGATTTTCTATTAGTGGCGATCTCCGCAACATTGAAGAGACTGTTGCTTTTGCGAAGGATGGTGATGACCGACAGGCGATCCGCGCGTCAGATAGTTGATGCTAGAGGATCGCAGTGAACATTCCCATATTGGGGTATTTTTTAACGGATGACTAATTTGGGGTAATTTTTAAAAGTTAAGAGACCACATTGGGTGCAATTGAAAGTCGAAATACAAAATTAAGAATGAGCGATAGTCGAGGACAATTTTGGGAAAAAACTCTATTATTTTATTATTACATAATAATAATAAAAAATAAATAAATAAATAATAATAATAATAATAATAATAATAATAATAATGTCCTTTTAGTTCATTTTATATATTAACCGCTAATCTAAACAGTTAAATTTTATCAAACATCTTTTTACAAATTGCTGATACAATCTGCTGGTCAAACCCGTTATCTGATATCTGCTAACCATTGATGCCAAACAAGCCCTTTAACTGTTTGGTTGGAAGGAAGTAATTAGGGGGAAAATGAATTGTAATTCGGTGGAAAAAGAATAAGGTGGGAATAAAGTTGGAATTCAAATTACGTTGTTTGGTAGAGAGAAATAGAATTATTGGAATTGAGAAGGAAATAAGTGGTATAAAGACTAAAATATCCTTGTGTAATAATAATAGTAATAACAACCAAGGGTAGTAATGTCATTTCATATGTTTTTTCCTTTCTCAAATTCATTGAATTGTTGCAATTCAACAAAAGGAGGGAATTGCAATTCCCTCCAACCAAACAATGCAATTGAGACATTCACTGAATTGCAATTCAACTACAGCTAAATTACAGTGAACCAAACGTCATGTTATAGTGTGGATCGTGAATAAATGTTCATATTTAATATATTGAAGGTACATAATTTGTGTGCTGAAAGTTTATTACTCCATATTTTGTATATTATCAAATAATTAATTTTCAATATTCAAATAATGTACCTTAAAAATGAAATTTTAGTGTATTAAAAATGTACTTCTAATATATAAAAAATTTACCTTATGTCAATGGTCAACCTTGTCCATGCTATAATAATTTTTCTATTTTTAAATTATACCATGGACAAAGGTTCACCTTGCATTGTGGATACTGGTCAAAAATAAAATTCATGTTATATGTCTGATCTGTAATTAATAAATTGTGGGCACTGGTATAAAATAACATTCAAGTTATATATTGCAAGTTAAGAGATTATGTATTTATAAATAAATTAAAGACATAAAATATGTTAACACATCAAGTCTAAGGGTGTTTAGTATTTTCCATATTATAATTTTTATTACAAAGCAGCTCAAACCTAAAACCTCCTACCTAATGAAACAATTAAATACCAATGGATCATAAGCCACTTGGTATTTTCCAATAGTAATTGAGCAAACATCTCAAATTCTCAATTATTTCGAGCAATCGTTTTACCCTACACCACGGCGCGCGTAGCACTGTGCGCCGCGCGCCTCCCAAAACGACGTTGTTTTGGAGTTATTTTGGGAGGCGCGGTAGGAAGTTGCTGTGATTATGTGTATTTGTTCACAAAATTATGTGTATTTGTTCATACAGTTATGTACATTTTTTATACAATTATGTACATTCTTTTTATACAATTATGTACATCCGAATCAGAAAATTTGTGTGTATTATGTTAAGAGTTGATGTGTATTATGTTAAAAGTTTATGTTTATTATGTATTATGTTAGATTATGTGTATTATCTTTTAAAAAGAGTATGTATATTTTGTTATATAATTATGTACATTCATGTATACAATTATGTGTATTCTAGTATAACATTATGTATATTTTTGAACAACGGATTTTTAAAAAAAAAAAAAAAAAATACTGCCATTCACTAGGGCGGAAAATTTCAAAAAAAAATTGCCTTATTTCGAGTCTCAATAGACATATTCTAAAGGGAATAAGTTTTTTTTTTTTTTTTCTTTTACAGGAACCCCGTTGCTACCCAAAATTGTAAATTGACTCCTCAAATGGAATTTTATACCAATTCGATAAATGAAAATTGATTTCTATAAACACTATTTAACATTATGTTAATTAATTTAATAGTATCGAATATAAGTTGTATATTTAATGAATGTAAACCATTTAATATTATTATAAAAAATCTACAAAAATAGACAAATTAAATACTCGTAACGAATAATGAAAGCATACCAAATCTTTTATACTATAATAAGATATTATAACATAATAGATTAATTCCATATTTGATCTTCAATTATAGTTATATTTTTATATTTAGCCATTGATGTTATCGTATTTTGTCATTAGCTTTAAAAAATAATTCCAAATTTAATTACTCATTACTAAATTATTTATATTTAATTTATATCTCTGTGAAATCGAAGAGTTAAAAGATAAAATTATTAGTTTGTAAATGATGAAATAGTCAAGGTTAATGTCTATCAAACATCGATTTTGAAATGAATTTTTTTTTTTTTTTTGAGAACAATTTTGAAATGAATTAAGGCTGTGTTTGGAAACCCGAAAAATGATTTCTGGAAATCATTTTTCAGATTTTTGGTGTTTGGCTGGACTTGGAAAATTCAGTCAACGGAATTCATTTTTCGTTGACTGGGGAAAATGTGCTCAATTTGGTGGAAAATGACTTCCGCAAAATTTTGGCGGAAGTCATTTTCCGCCATTTGCTATTTCATTATTTTTTTTTATTTTTTTATTTAGCTTCCGGCGGAACTGGGTTCTGCCGGAAACCAGAATGATTTTTTTTTTTTTTTTTTTTTTTTTTTTAGTTCTAAACATTTAAAATATATATTTTATTCTAAATAAAATAATTAAAATATTTAATTATACCATTCTACTTATTTTTCAGAAAATGAACCAAAAATACCAAAACAGTTTTCCAAATGCAACCAAACACTGGAAAAGGAAAATATTTTTCGAAAAATGACTTATTTTCCAGAAGTCATTTTCTTGCTTTCCAAACGGACCCTAATAGAAACTGAATTTTCATTTTGGTGAAATTATTAATCAAACCGAATTATATTTTAGTTAGTCCAATTAACCAAACTTTTATTTTATATATTTATTTATTTATAATTTGGTTAATGCAATGAATTTTTAATCTTCAAACTGGATTAATTGAAAATCAAAATTTATTAAAATCTTTAATCATAAATCGAATTGACAAAGTTCATATACCGATAAAATTAATCAAAGTAATAAAGGAAAATGACTTACAGATAAGAATTTGTATATCTTTTAACCTTTATATTTCACATAAATAAGATTGAATTATCGATGGTCAACAAAATTTGACACTATCATAAAAGACAATGAGTAATCCAAGAAGTATTTTTTCTAAATTTATAAATGGGAAAATTGTAAAACATGTCCCTCTATAATATGCCAATTGTCAATGTCACCCCTGAATTATGAGTAGTGTAAATGTTGCTCCTCAATTATCAAAATGGTGCACATATAGCCCCTCCCGTAACTGACCTGTGGTTCCCCAGCGCTGTCCATCGCTGGTACTTCGAATCGAGGGAGGGAAAAAACAACTAAATTACATATTTACTCCGACTTAACGGTGTCGTACACTAATGGGGAACCACGTGTCCGTTACGGGAGGGGCTACATGTGCACCGTTTTGATAATTGAGGGGCAACATTTACACCACTCATAATTCAGGGGTGACATTGATAATTGACATATTATAGATGAGTATTTTTTACAATTTTTCCTTTATAAATTTATTTTTTTGATTACATCAAACATAATTTTTTTGGACAGAAAAATAATAATAATAATAATAATAATAATAAATAAATAAATAAATAAATAAATAAATAAATAAATATATATATATATATATATATATATATATATATATATATATATATATATATATATATATATATATATATATATATAATTTTTAAATAAGTGGTGAGCAGGCTGTCAGGCCCGCAAGCCTAGGGCGGGGCGGGCAAAAAAAAAACCCACTCCTTGGCGGGCTACTATTTCCGAAATTCATTCTCTACCTAAATCAGAGGCGGGCCGGGTCGGGCTGACAAGCAAATCTCATTTTGACGTCTCTAACTACAACACGCTTCTGTTTAAGTATTAATTGGCAAATATAGTTATTATTATTATTTTTTTTAGTAGGGATAGTTATTATTTTATTAATTAAAGACTAAAGTTGAAAATGACTTCATATATTCAATACCTAATTAAGTATAGAATCAATTAATATGTAAATTATAAATTTATAACTTAAAATGGGATATATATATCACAATCCAAACCAAATTCTACAGCTAATGTGCATTCATTGTATTCTTGTTGAGGATCCTTATAACACCAGATTTAGCACCAATATAAATAAATCTAATTTCCATATATTTTAGGATTATTCAATCTAAAAATTTGTAGGAAAAATCCAATAATATACCGTAAAATATTTATGGGGATACTCGGGAGAGTATGAACACGAATTTTTTTTTTTTGAAAGCAATAAACAGCTAGCATGTATTAACTCAAAAGAGTAATAACAAAGTCAGTATGAACAAGAAATTAATTAAGGTACAAATTAAGAAAACCTGAAATGCTATCTATTTTAAGCGCTTTAACCATATAGTTATAAATATACATACTTAAATTTCTAGACATAATATTAGTACAAGTTCAGACCATTATTTATCCCCAATACTAATTAAGGTGTGCAAGAGTGAAGATATTCCTAACAAACATATTTATGCCGTACCTATTTTCCATAAATAGGATAAATCCGTAATAGTGTATATACCAATCTTACTTTAAAAAGATGTTACAATGTCGTATTTTCTAAACAGAAAGTGATAAGTAAATGTTGATTGTACACCTTTAAAAAAATTATTGACATATTAGTCAGTCTGTCGCTTTAATTTCTATTTTGATGATTAATACAGCTTTTTTTACGTGTAACGTTATAGTAAAAATTTTTGAATATATATTGTTTTGAAATTCCCTTAAAAGCATATGATTACTATGTTAGGGGAGAAGGAATAATAATAATACTAATAATAATAATAATAATAATAATAATAAAACGACAATAATGTGATATTTCTTCTAAGGAAAAATTATAATTTATGTCCCTCCATAATATACTAATTATTAATGTCATTCTTAAATTATTAGTGGTGTAAATATTATACCTCAATTTTCAAAACGGTTCATATAGTGTCCCCCGTAATGTAAATATTGCCCCTCAATTTTTCGAACGGTACAATACGGGAGGGGCAATATATGTATTGTTTTTAAAATTGAGGAACAACATTTACATTATTAATAATTCAGGAGTAACATTGATAATTGAAATATCATGGAGGGGCATAAATTACAATTTTCCACTTTCTTCTAGTATAAATCCAGCACGTACTCTACGCTACCTCGTACATCTTAATTTATCTCCGACCTTGGTTGCGACGGCGATTGACAATGGCGGCGGAGGCGATTGCGGAGATCGAGGAGCTGATCAAGGTTCATGAAGTGGGTGAGGATGATCTGCAGGTTGGTGCAGCGGGCGGGCAGTCCGGAGAACAAGCTGATCCGGCGCCGCATGCGGCGGCGGTGAGGGTGAGGCTGGACTTTTGCTGCAAATACTGCGATAAGAAGTTCAGTACCAAGCAGGCTTTGGGAGGGCACCAGAACGCGCACCGGATGGAGAAAAATGGGAATAGGAGTGGCCGCCGTGGTGGGTTCATGGACTATGACTTCTTGCACCCTCATTTTCTGTGCTCTCCTTTGGCTGGGTTTCCTCCACTTCCCGGCGGCGGCGTCCAGGTGAACTACTCGTACCAGGCTCCCGCTGCAACCCCGCCGTATTTCCTGCCCGGCAATTCCATTTCCTCGCCGTTGATTCCAACCGGCAGGCAGCCCTATGCTTATCCATTTCCACCTGAAACCAGCTCACTGCGCAGTAGGCTGCCGGCGATGAGTATCCCCGGCAGAAACAGCTTTCCAGTCCCCGCTAGCAGGCTTGCAGGTCCCATTGTTATCAACTCCAATCCAATGAATGCTCCAGAAATCAACAAGGATATGGAGGATGGAGAACTGGACTTGACTCTCAAGCTATGAAATTTCTATATTTTTTAATTTATCTTTTGCGCGGGAAAAATTGAACTCCATTATTATATATATATATATATATATATATATATATATATATATATATATATATATATATATATATATATATATATATATATATATATATATATATATATATAATTTAAGTCTTTAAGATACATGTATGTTTGTTTGTTTGTTTTTGAAAAAAAAGATACATGTTTGTTTGTCTGTCAGCAAACTATAATTTCATTAAATTAATAAACGATTTTATTTCATTTTGATATAATTATGCATTTTGTTAAGTTCTTTAATCTCAAGATTGTTTAATAGTTTTAGTTAAATTGGTGAAATTAATAGTTTTAGTTAAATTTGTACTTTTGATGTTTAATTATTTAGTTGTGATTTTTATTTTATTTTTTCAAAAACAAGAACTTAACTTTCATTATCAGCAAAACATGCAACATAAACAATGGTGGATCAGAAAACCAAAGTTGTGATTTTAATTTTTACTAGAGAAGTGTAATTTCTTGTTTAATTTTATTAATCTTGGATTTGGATTATTGCATGTTTAAAATTTGTATTTGTTGTAAATAATATAACTATTTATGTAGCCATTATCCCACTTGTATATGGTTATCTCGGATCAGGGAGATATACACGTTCAGTGATTAATAGAAAAGGGTAAGCATATGTTCTTTCTCTTCTCTCTCCTTCTTTGTAATAGTTTGATCACAATTTTCAGCATACAATGAACACAAGTTTCATACAAGAGACCACAATATTACAACATGTTATCAGTAGATTGTTCTGATGAATGTATGTCTAGTAAAAAAATGGGGAGGAAACTTTCTTGGTTTATCAAGTTTCAGGCCAAACAGCTTGCATCACCCGTGCATGATGGTTAATTAGTTCATTGTTTTTGTCGGCGCCGGTGTTGTATGTGTCCCCTTGGCAAGTAGAGGCACTGCCATGTTTTGGCACCAACAGGAGGCGACGGTGAGCACCGCTTGAGACTTCGGCGACAGTGACTACACCAAAAATCGCTCATGGCATCTGCACCGCTGCTGGCCGATCGACGACCTGACCACTGGCAATTGATTGCGACGAGGGGACGACGACACCCGTGCCGTCCGTGCCATGATTGGACGTTAGGATCACCTGCAAAGTGTCATCGACGGGACTTCAGAATGATTGCGAGAAACCAATATATATTCTGAGTGGACTACTTAGGTACTGACTATTTTATTTGATCCCATGATGCCAAGTTCTCTGGTTATGTTTTATTTTACCTCTTATTGTATGTGAACAACAAAGTTTGTATTGCACAAATGATAAATGGATATGTTTCTACCAATCCTTCTAGGATCTTATTGGTAGGGATGTTACTGATTTTGTGCTTACTTGTTTATCTCAATCTTCCTTCCCGTTAGAATTCACTACTGGAAATTATGGAATTTCTGACCACTTGAAAGTGATCTTAAATCAAGTTGATACCAAAAAGTGGTCGGAAATAGCAACAAAGGTTTTTCCGAATACCAAAAGTGGTCGGAACAAGGTTTTTGACTTGATTTAAGATCACTTTCAGGTGGTCGGAAATTCCATAATTTCCAGTAGTGATTGAATGATGCAAATATTGTGTTAATACCTAAGAAGGTTTCCCCGGAGTTAGTTTTTGATTTGAGGCTAATTGCTTTGTGCAATGTTGTGTACAAAATTATGGCCAAGATGATTGCTAACCGAATGAAGCCGCTTTTGGAAGGTATTATTTATGAGTCTCAAAGTGCCTTTCTTCCGGGTAGATTGATCTTAGATAACATCCTCATTGCTTCTGAGGTAAGTCACTATCTTAGGAGGAAGCAGTTGGGTCAGGTAGGGTGGGCAGCCTTAAAGTTGGATATCGCCAAAGCCTATATGATAGGATGGAGTGGCCATTTGTTGAGCGAATGCTGTTGGGTTTGGATTTTGATGTAAGATGGGTCAAGCTGATTATGTTATGTGTTCAGACTATCAGATATAGGGTTCTTATGGATGGAAAGCCAAGTGAAGTGATTAATCCTACAAGGGGCCTAAGGCAGGGCGATCCTTTGTCACCCTACTTATTTATCATTTATGCGGAGGGTTTGTCACTATCATTGCAAGATGCCCAGGCGAGAAGTTTGATTTATGGCTGTAGAGTGGCGCGGGGGGCCCGCCTGTGTCCCACTTTTTTTTTTTTTTTTTTTTTTTGCAGATGATAGCCTTTTATTTTTTAAGGCGAATTTACAGGAGACTATGGAAATAAACCGTTGCTTGGAGGTTTATGAACAGCTTTCGGGGCAATTTGTCAACTTTCATAAGTCTTGTATCTCTTTTAGCCGCAACACTGTTGTGGGAGTTAAAGAAGCCATCGCTTTGGCTTTGGGTGTCGATCAAGCTGAAGATTTTGGAAAATATTTGGGCTTTCCCTTCGTTATTGGCAAGAACAGGAAATTGGTTTTCTCCTATGTGGAACATAAGTTAAGGTAAAGGTTTGGTTCCTGGAACAAGAGACTTCTCTTTATAGTTGGCAAAGAGGTGCTCCTAAAAAGTGTGGCCCAGGCAATGCCCACTTATACTATGAGTATCCTCCTGTTACCGGTCACTATATGGGCCTCTCTAGAAAGGTTGATGAATAAATATTGGTGGGGTAAGAGCAGCACGGTGGACGAGATTCATTGGATGGCCTGGGACAGAATGTGTGTCCCAAAGAAACATGGGGGCATGGATTTTAAACGCCTTCACGACTTTAATTTGGCTCTGTTAAGGAAGCATGGGTAGCGTTTGCTCACCAACCCGGATTTTCTAATGGCCCGGATTTTTAAGGCGAGATATTTCTCCAAGACTACTTTTTATGAGGCTACCTTGGGGGGAAACCTAAGTTATGTTTGGAGAAGCATTATGGCTAGCCAAGAGCTACTTCGTACAGGTTGTAGGCGCAGAATTGGGGATGGTAGAGTGACTAAAGTTTGGTTGCACCCATGATTGCCTAACCCGTAGACCCCTATGTGCATTCAAACCAGGTTGCCCAGTATCTGGATTTGGTAGGGGCAGATCTTATTAATTTTGAGCAGGGAGTGTGGAATTATGATATGGTGAGTATGTTTGTGCCTAGAGATGTTGATTTAATTATGCAAATCCCGGTGAATGTTAATTTTGGTGATATTTGGTATTGGAATGGGATATAAGGGTTGTTACACGGTTAAAAATGGTTACAGGAGTCCAGGGGAAATTACAACCCCCATGGCACTGTTTGGAACAACATTTGGAAGCTACAGGTTCCCTCAAGATGGAGGGTTTTTCTTTAGAGAGAACTCTCTAATATTCTGCCTACTACTAATTGTAGAATTCTATGTTCATAATTTTTGAACTCAATATTCACAATTATGAACAGTTTTAGAATCGAGTCCACATTATCAGGTGAACACAGTTCCACAACATAATTTGCCATTGCACCACATAATTAAAACCCTAACGTGTAATATGTATTATACGGGAAAGTCTGATCTTACAAAGACTTCTTAAAACTTTCCATCTGAATGAATAGCTCCTCTATACTGTGGAACCTTTGCTTCAGAGGTCACACAGATCAATTTAAATAATGCTGCTAAAAGCACCGTTTTGAGATGTTCAAACCCAACAACCAGCTGATAACCAAAAAGGCCAAAAGCTTAATCAGTTATATCACTTCATCTGATTTAGTGAAAGGTAACACTTGTGTGAAACCTTTTAATGGGTCTTAATATGTGACCAATCGTTATATCTTGTACCACGGCGCGCGCAGTACTGTGCGTCACGCGCCTCTTAAAACGACGTTATTTTAGGAGGCACGGAAGAGAGTCGACGTGATTATGTGTATTTGTTTATATCATTATGTGTATTTGTTCATACAATTATGTGTATTTTTTTATACAGTTATGTGTGTTTGTTTATACAATTATGTGTATTTGTTTATACAAGTATGTGTATTTTTTTATACAGCTATGTAAAACGACGTTGTTTTGCATCAGGGCGCACAATGCAATGCGCGCCCTGGTGCACGATATAAATTGCCATATGTGAGATGGGTCGAATCTTTGATTAATAAGTCAAATATTTGATTAATGGGTTGGATCTTTGACTTCATTAATTAAAGATTCGACATGTGCTCACGGATTGTGCAAATTATATCGTGCACCGCGGTGCATAATCGATTATGCACCGAGTTTCAAAATGACGTCGTTTTGTTTAATGAAAAGAAACGGCACTCGTTTCACAAAAAGTAACTTTGTTATTCAGTTTCATTTTATATACACTGTAGTTTCAGTTCAACACAACTACAGTTTCATTTCGATATAACTACAGTTTCATTCGACATTTATACACTCAAATATGTGAAAATGTTATTTAATTTTATTTTATATACACTATAGTTTCATTAAAATACAACTACATGATCATTTCGATATAACTACACCTTCATTGCGCAATATACACTCAAATATGTGAAATATTATTCAGTTTCATTTTATATAAACTGCAGTTTCATTTCACTACAACTACAGTATCATTTTGATATAACTGCAGTTTCATTTGATAATATATAAAATAATACGTGAGTCAGTTTCGGTTCAGATACACTGTAGTGTCAATTTATATACACTGTAGTTTTAGTTAGTAATTAATTAACACACACAAAAATGCGCGCTCCGTTAATAGTAACGGCATGCCGTTTCTTTACTTAAAGAAACGATGCCGTTTTGACTACGGTACACGTGCACCGCGGTCCATGATATAACAACTGCACGGATGAGACCCGTGAAACGGTCTGATGCAAATTTTTGCCTTAAGTATAAATACTCCATATTTTATGGCAAATAACTTTACTTTCTTAAAATATTGAAAAAAGAAAAAAGACAAGCAATCCAAGTCAACATTATCAAATTCCATCCTTAAGATTATTTTATAAATAATTAAAATATTTAAAGTTAACGTAACATTACAATAATAATGCGAATACTCCGTATATTATAACATCCATGAAAGTAGTAGTATATACTAGCAGCATCACTTTTCATTTCAATAACATCAAAAATTGTCACCTTAGCTTTATCCTAATTCCTAAAGAAGACCCAATTAATGAAATACTTCGAAAAAAAAAAACAGCTCTTTGCCACCGGGGCCGGTTTTTAGATTTTGGTGGCCCCGTTATAGTAAATAAATGAGGCCCTACCAAAATTACAATATTTAAAATCAATACAGTATATTTTAATCTATATCTATATCTATATATCTATATATATATATAAAAGTAAAATCCTCCTAACAAATTTTCCCCCCAAAACTTTTGTAGTAAAACTTATTTGGTAAATAAATGTCAAATGGAAAATAAATAAATAATAATAATAATAATAATGTTATTACCTTAAATAAATAAATTATTATACTTTCCCTTAAATAAATAAATTATTATACTTTCCTTTTGAATTAGTATTTTCTACCTATAAATACAATGGCTTCTTCAATCAAAGAATCCCAGACTCATCCCTCTGCTTTTTTTTTTTGTATGAATTTTCTACATTTTTTCTAACTATATTCTCATGTACTTCAATATGTTTTGCAGTTTATATCATGTGGTATGAGTTTGAAGATACTTAAGGAGGCTCTGCTTCAACAAAAGGAAATTGAGGAGGAAAAGCATTTGTAACAGAACCCTTAGTTTTTATGAAAGATTGTAGAGATGCAATCGAGGATGATAAAGACGGTAATTTTGATAATTTTGTAAGATTTTCTGAAACTTAGAGTTAGTATGTTGACTTCAAGATTTGTACATGTCATTCAAGTTTCTATGGTTTTTTTTTACCAAGCATAGTTCATTTTACAGCATTTTTATAATTAATATATATATGTGTGTGTGTGTGTGTGTGTGTGTATATATATATATATATATATATATATATATATATATATATATATATATATATCACAACTTGAGTAGAGTGTTTGTTTAACCTATTAAAAATCTCGCTATATTTGATTTTTTCTAAATTTTTGTAAAACACAAAAATAATGATTATTTTAAAAGAAGAAATAAATAACAAATACAATTTCAGATTTTGTGTTACTCCATTCACATATTAGTATAAATAAATAAAAAAGTAATAAAATAAAATACAAAGGAAATATAAATTTTTAACCAAAAATTTAATTAGAGAAACCTCCCAAAAAAATCCACGTTGTACTGAACCCAAATAAAAAAATATTGGCAAAGGCACAATCATAAGGATCAAAGGGAACAATGGAAGACCCAGAAATCCAAACATCATTGATGTACCGAACGGTGATGAGAGACTCAGAAATAGGAATATCATTATGAATGAAAACGGAGATTGTCTTGACACCCGAATTTAGTTTAAGGAGAAGTTTACTCTTGAGTACAAATGTCTCCTCAATGGATTTTGTATGGTCATATAGAGTGTATTTATACACCATGGATGAGTTCAAAATAGCACAATATTGAAATTATAAAATGGTAAGAGATCTCAAAAAAGGTAAAACTTTCAAATTTTCAGTTAATACACAAAATGTTATAATCGCCGAAAATATATATCTTTAACTTTAGACAAAAATTAAAAATGAAATCATAAACAATTTTAATAATTGACTATTTCATTTCTATGTTTCTTGAAAAATGATGGGCATGAACAGGCTGACTCATCGTGAAATATAATAATTAATGAATTACCATTAAAATTAGTATAGTAATGAAAGAATTAATTATCATTTGTATGTTGACGTTTTCCCCCGTTTATTACCATTCAAATGTTTGATACCAAAAATTATACTATATAAACACAAAATATGCATATATCGTAAATATGCAATTTATATATATATATATATATATATATATATATATATATATATATATATATATATATATATATATATAATTAAGAGTAAAATCCTCCTAACCAAGTTTATCCCCAAAACTTAGGGGATAAACTTGGTTAGGAGGATTTTACTCTTAATTATATATATATATATATATATATATATATATATATATATATATATATATATATATAGATTATTCTCATAATTTTTCTTTCCTTCTTTTGTGTTATTATTATGGTAATGTATTTAAATATTGGAAGAAAACAAATGTTATAATTAATGAAATTATTGTAATAATTGCCACAATATTTGATAATTATAATTAATATAATTAATGAAATTGAGAAATATATGATTTCTTCCATAGACATATTTGTGACAATTTCATTAAATTATAATTAATAAAATATGAAATATAATTAAAGAAATGCAATTTAAAATTAACAAAACATGAATATTTATAATTTTTTTAAATATACATACATATACTCTTTAAATTTCTAAATATAATTTTTTAAGTATAAATCTATCAATATAAATTATAATTAATGAAATTATATTATAGGACTTTCCTATATACATATTAATAAATATTATGTGTATATACAAAGTATTATACAATCATATAAGGATATGCGTCCGATTAGAATATTTATTTATTCATACAAAATTTAGAATTTACATTTTTTTATTGATTTCTAAGTACAATTCTCTTAGTTTTTATTATTCATATTTTTAAATTTCATATATAGATATGAAATACAATTTGGAATAAATCAACTTAATTATATGAATTTTTTTATAAATTTATCTAAATATGTACATGATTAGAGAATATATTAACCATACAAAATTTTAATTTTAATTTTGTATGTTATGAAATAGATACTTGACTAAATATATAAAAGTCCAACTATATTATTATATTGTACATTTAAACATCTTTTTATTTTTTCTATTTTTATTTTAAATTCATAATAACAAAAATAAAATTCCGTGCAATGCATGGATAAAACACTATATTTAAAAAATACAATTTGATAAATATCATAAATTAATTAGTAAAATATCATTTATGTTTATAATAATTAAATAAAAAACAAATAATTCAACTATGTGAACCAATAATAATAATAATAATAATAATAATAATAATAATAATAATAATAATAATAATAATAATAATAATAATTAGTAATATTATTGTTCAATATAATATTTTTTTTAAAAAAAACTTATTTTAATTGGTAATGTATATTCTATACTAATCTATATTTATATTCTATATTAATTAATAAAAACAAATCATCCTTTACGAGCTCCCGCCTAAACAATTAATAGTAATATGAAAAAATGAAAAAGAATGGAAGGAAGTCGTACCCCCAAACAATTAATAATAATATTGGAAAGAAAATTAATAATAATATGGAAGTATGGAAAATAATGAAAGGAAATATTATTCATGTGAATGTTTTCTACACTCTGAAAAATGAAAAAGAATCAATAAGCAGTATAAGGAAAATAATCATTAAGATATTTTATATTAATCTTTTACGGAAGATTTTGCGTAAAAAATAGAAAATGAATTGGTTATTACTAATTTAGTCTTATTTTACTATTAATCTTTATAAAAAATTATGCGTAAAAAAATGTAATAAAATCGGTTATTAATAATGTAGCTTAATTTTACTATATTAATCTTTAAGAAAAATTATGCATAAAAAATATAATAGAATCGGTTATTAATAATTTAGCTTTATTTTACTATTAATCTTTAAGGAAGATTTTGTTAAAAAATAAAATAGAATTAATTATTAATAATTTAAATTAAAATTAAAATACATATATTTTCCTATCCGTAATACAATTTTACTTACAGTTTTACAAAATCTTCAAATAATAATTGATAATATTATTGTTCAATTATAATAAAAACTTTAAGTTTAATTGGTAATCTATATTCTATATTAATTAATAAAATAATATCCTCATTTACCAGTTCTCGCCTAAACAATTAATAATAATATGAATAAATAGAAATGAATGGAATGAAGCCGTACGCTAAAACAATATAGAATAATATTGGGAATGAAATTAATAATAATATGGGAAAATAGAAATGAATGGAAGAAAATGTTAGGATGTGAATTTTTTATACACTCAGAAAAATGGAAAAGAATCAATAAGCAGTATAAGAAAAAGAATCATTAAGATACTATTAGTCTTTTTAGGAAAGATTTTGCCAGGCACAAGACCTTGCCTGGTATACCCCAGCAGAATGGTGTTGCCGAACGTTTGAACAGGACTCTATTGGAAAGAGCTCGTTGTATGCTCTCTAATGCTGGGTTATGGAAACGGCGTGATTTTTGGGCCGAGGCCGTTTCTACTGCTTGCTATTTGGTAAATAGATCTCCACATTCATCCCTTGATTTCAAAATTCCAGAGGAAGTTTGGTCAGGTAATCCTGTTGACTACTCTATCTTAAGAGTTTTTGGATGTCCTGCTTATGCTCATTCCAGTACGGGTAAATTGAACCCGAGAGCTGTCAAATGCATTTTCCTTGGTTATGCCTCTGAGTCAAAAGGGTATCGTCTATGGTCTCCTGATTCTCGGAAAATCATTCTGAGTCGAGATATCACTTTTGATGAAAATGCACTACGTTCTTCTGGAAAAGTTCCCGGTACAGATGAGACGCAAAGTACTGGTGAGAAGGTGGAGTTTGAGTTCAGGCCTATTGATAGTGTTACTACTGCTGATGGTAATACTAAAGATGATGCATCTACTAGCACCGCACCTCTCGTCGAGCCACAAGGAGAGTATTCCATTGCTATGGATCGTCCTAAGAGGACAATTAAAAAACCTGCTAGGTATGCTAGTGATGATGAAACCAACTTGGTTGCTTATGCTCTTTCAGTCGCACAGGAGGTTGATGATGATCCATCCTGCTATTATGAGGCTCTTCCTGTTGCTAAGTTCAAGTAGTGCTTGAGTTTAGTCGGCTGTTCCAATTGTTAATTCTCACAATGAATTTGATCCAAGGTGGAGATTGTTAGATATAATATGTGGCTCAAATTGTGTGGCTCAAAATCATGAAGACCACTCACCATGAAACTAGCATCCATGTTTCACATCTTCACCTAATTTCTTGGGTCTTCTTACAATCACCACATTTGTCTCTAGTTTGAAATGTATAAATAGGCTAGAATTCCTTTGTAATCAGGCATCAATTTTAATTCATTCAATTCTTTATCTTCTCTCACGTAGAGTATATATTTAATATATATATTTTCTTTGTATTCTCTATTTAGAGATTAATATATATATATATATATTTTATAATCTCCCAAATTAGCAATTGCCTTATTCTGTCATTTATATTATTTTCCCTATTATTTAACTTCTATAATTCTCAATTTTTGATTCTTCGCTTCCGCATTATTCCGCTATATTCCTAACATATATATATATATATATATATAATTTTTTAAATAAGTGGTGAGCAGCCTGTCAGGCCCGCGAGCCTAGCGCGGGGCGGGCAAAAAAAAATACACTCTTTGGTGGGTTACTATTTTCAAAATTCATTCCCTACCTAAATAAGAGGCGGGTCGGGCCGGCAAGCAAGTCTCATTTTAACGTCTCTAACTACAACACGCTTCTGTTTAAGTATTAATTGGCAAATATAGTTATTATTTTATTAATTAAAGACTAAAGTTGAAAATGACTTCATATATTCAATAACTAATTAAGTATAGAATCAATTAATATGTAAATTATAAATTTATAACTTAAAATGGGATATATATATCACAATCCAAATCAAATTCTACAGCTAATGTGCATTCATTGTATTCTTGTTGAGGTTCCTTATAACACCAAATTTAGCACCAATATAAATAAATCTAATTTCCATATATTTTAGGATTATTCAATCTAAAAATTTGTAGGAAAAATCCAATAATATATCGTAAAATATTTATGGGGATACTCGGGAGAGTATGAACACGAAATATTTTTTGAAAGCAATAAACAACTAGCATGTATTTACTCAAAATAGCAAGAACAAAGTTAGTATGAACCCGAAATTAATTAAGACACTAATTAAGAAAACTTGAAATGTTATCTATTTTAAGCGCTTTAATCATATGGTTATAAAATATATACTTAAATTTCTAGACATAATATCAGTACAAGTTCAGACCATTATTTATCCCCAATACTAATTAAGGTATGCTCAATAGTGAAGATATTCCTAAGAAACATATTTATATCGTACCTATTTTTCCTAAATAGGATAAACCCGTAATAGTGTATATATCAATCTTACTTTAAAAAGATGTTACAATGTCGTATTTTCTAAACAGAAAGTGATAAGTAAATGTTGATTGTACACCTTTAAAAAAATTATTGACATATTAGTCAGTCTGTCGCTTTCTATTTAGATAATTAATACAGCTCTTTTACGTGAAACGTTATGGTAAAAAATTCTGAATATATATTGTTTTTGAAATTCCCTTAAAAGCATATAATTACTATATAATAATAAAACGACAATAATATGATATTTCTTCTAAGGTAAAATTGTAATTTATACCCCTCCATAATATACTAATTATTAATGTCATGCCTAAATTATTAGTAGTGTAAATTATTGTCCCTCAATTTTCAAAACGGTACATATAGTGACCTCCCGTAGTGTAAATGTTATCCCACATTTTTAATGGTACATGTATTGCCCCTCATGTACGGTACGGGAGGAGCAATATATGTACCGTTTTAAAAATTGAAAAAACAACATTTACACCATTAATAATTCAAAGACAACATTAATAATTAACATATTATGGAGAGAAATAGATTACAATTTTTCTTTTTTCTTCTAGTATAAATCCACACGTACTGTAAGCTACCTCGTACATCTTAATTTAACTAAATTAAACTTGTCTGGTACGGTCGATCTCCGACCTTGATTGCGACAGCGATTGACAATGGCGGCGCAGGCGATTGCGGAGATGGAGCAGATCAAGGTTCAAGAAGTGGGTGAGGATGATCTGCAGGTTGGTGCAGCGGGCGGGCAGTCCGGAGAAGAAGCTGATCCGGCGCTGCACGGTGCGGCGGGCGGGCAGTCTGGAGAAGAAGCTGATCCCGCGCCGCATGCGGCGGCGGCGGCGGGGGAGGTGAGGCTGGACTTTTGCTGCAAATACTGCGATAAGAAGTTCAGTACCAAGCAGGCATTGGGAGGGCACCAGAACGCCCACCGGATGGATAGAGATATGGAGAAAAATGGGAAGAGGAGTGCCCGCCATGGTGGGTTCATGGATTATGGCTTCTTGCAGCCTCGTTTTCTATGTTCTCCTTTGGCTGGGTTTCCTCCGCTTCCCGGCGGCGGCAGCGGTGGCCAGGTGAACTACTCGTACCAGGCGGCCGCTGCAAATCCGCCGTATTTCCTGCCAGGCAATTCCATTTCCTCGCCGTTGATTCCAACCGGCAGGCTGCCCTATGCTTATCCATTTCCACCTGAAACCAGGCCACTCCCCAGTAGGCTGTCGGCGATGAGTATCCCCGGCGGCAACAGCTTTCCAGTCACCCCTCGCAGGCTTGCAGGTCCCATTGTTATCAACTCCAATCCAATGAATACTCCACAAATCAACAAGGATATGGAGGATGGAGGACTGGACTTGACTCTCAAGCTATGAAATTTCTATGGGAAAAATTGAACTCCATTATATATATATATATATATATATATATATATATATATATATATATATATATATATATATATATATATATATATATATATATATATATATATATATATGGTTTAAGATACATGTTTGTTTGTTTGTGGTTTAAGATACATGTTTGTTTGTTTGTTTTGAGAAAAGATACATGTTTGTTTGTCTGTCAGCAAACAATAATTTCATTATATTAATAAACGATTTTATGTCATTTTGATATTATAATGCATTTTGTTAAGTTCTTTAATCTCAAGATTGTTTAATAGTTTTAGTTAAATTTGTACTTTTGAAGTTTAATTATTTAGTTGTGATTATTTTTTTTATTTATATTTTGCAAAAACAAGAACTTAACTTTCAGTATCAGCAAGCAAAACATCCAACATAAACAATGGTGGATCAGAAAACCAAAGTTGTGATTTTATTTTGTTTACTAGAGAAGTGTAATTTCTTGTTTTATTAATCTTGGATTTGGATTATTGCATTTGCATGTTTAAAATTTATATTTGCTGTAAATAATATAAGTATTTATGTAGCCATTATCCCACTTGTATACGGTTATCTCGGATCATGGAGATATATATGTTCAGTGATTAATAGAAAAAGGGTACTATATGCATATGTTCTTTCTCATCTCTCTCCTTCTTTGTAATAGTTTGATCACAATTATTCTGATGAATGTATGTCTAGTAAAAAAATGGGGAGGAGACTTTCTTGGTTTATCAAGTTTCAGGCCAAATAGCTTGCATCACCCGTGCATGATGGTTAATTAGTTGATTGTTTTTGTCGGCGCCGATGTTCTCTGTATCACCTTGGCAAGTAAAGGCGCTGCCATGTTTTGGCACCAACAGGAGGCGACGGTGAGCACCGCTTGAGACTTCGGGGACGGTGACTACACCAAAAATCGCTCATGGCATATGCACCGCTGCTGGCCGATCGACGATCTGACCACTGGCAGTTGACCACGACAAGGGAGCGACCGCAGCCGTGCCATGATCGGACGTTGGGATCACCTGCAAAGTGTCATCGACGGGACTTCGGAATGATGCGAGAAACCAATATATATATTCTAAGTGGGCTACTTGGTACATAGTGGTTTTTTTATTTGATTCCCATGATGTCAAGTTCCCTGTTTTATTTTATGTGTCAGTGTATGAGAACAATAAAGTTTGTATTACACAAATGATAAATGGGTATGTTTAAAATATTTAACAGAGCATATGTATTGTTAAAATTCAAGGCAGGTGAGCTCCAGAAGAATCACAGGATGATGTTATACAGAATGTTCACTCTAGTCAGTGATAATCTTTAGGGGAAATGACATTTACCTGAGTTAATCTGAAAAATTGGGGCTGAAGACCAATAGATGTATTCTTTTTTACTTTGATAGAGTTTTCATATAATTTTCTCAATTAAAGTTTTTCTAAGGAAACAACTAGGGCAAGACATGAGCAAACATCATGTACTCTTTTCTTCACAACGTCTTTTTTCACTGAGTTTTTCTAGTGAGGTTTTTTAATGAGACATGAGTGTGACATAGTAATGTCAAAAGGGGAAAGCTGCAAATAAATATTTAAATAGACAAATCTCAAAATCTTGAAGAGTATACTCAGAAGGTTTATGATTGGTTTATGGTTGTACTCTTTTCGTGTTAGTTAAGTTTTTTTTCACTTAATATAAGTTAAGGTTTTTATTGAGGCAACAATGTATAACACATGTTTTAAAATACGTCATGTATTATTTTTTCCTAACTAGGTATTTTCTATAGAATTTTCTTAGCAAAGTTTTCCCCCCGATTGATTTAGTACATGTTCTCTTTCTTCTCTCTCCTTCTCTGTACGTAATAGTTTGATCACAATTTCCAGCATACACTGAATATAAGTTTGATACAATAGACTGCAATATTACAATATTATTATTATTATTATTATTATTATTATTATTATTTAAGTCTCAGACGAGGGCACTTGGGCAGAAAATCGAATGGTTGACTCGTTATGACGGGAAGACCAAGGAGACTTTTGCTAAGCACATGACTCCGACTACAAGGTACACGGATCAAGTCGATGCTCAGGTGGGATGGACGAAGCCGGTCGCAGGGTGGTTAAAGCTCAACATGGACGGTTGTGACAATAGTGTTAGATTTAAATATAATTTAATCATATATAGTACAATTTACAAGAAATCTAACGTTATAATAACGGAAGCGGAAGCCATGTAGATCTCTAGTTATAGTTGATTTTGTTGTGTTGCCCCTCTTGAACGATAAACCTGCGGAATAACATTATTAGGTGTTTTGTCTGATCACATTTGACTCAGAACCCTAGATAGTGTACTGGTATTATTCTGAGCAGCACGAGTACCATAGCTTAAGTTAATATATATGGTGTACTGGTATTATTCTGACCGCATGAGTACCATATTTTAAAGTAATATATATATATATATATATATATATATATATATATATATATATATATATATATATATATAGTACCATGCATCCCATCAATACATGCTTTATTTTAGGCACAAGGTCCAATAAAACAACTACTTATAGTTATTCAGTCCAACTAGCTACTTAACAAGCCTATTAACCAATTGTTATATTGTGCACTAGAGTGCATAATGCATTGTGTCCCTAAAAATTTCATGTTTCAAATGTACATAATTGTATAGTAGAATACACATAAACTCGTAACATAATACAAATAATCTAACATAATACATAATAATACACATAAACTCTTAACATAATACACATTTTGCCGCTATTAACTTGCACCACGATTGTTATGCTGTGGAACCGTGTATGTTCATAATTATTGAACTCTATGTTCATAATTATAAAACTCTATGTTCATAATTTTTGAACTTCATATTCACAATTATTAAACTCCATATTCACAATTACAAAACTCTATGTTCATAATTACTGAACACTATATTCATAATTAAAAAAACTCTATATTCATAATTTTTGAACTTCATATTTACAATTATAAACTCTATATTTACAATTACAAAACTTTATGTTTATAATTAATTAATTATAGAATTCTATGTTCATAATTATTGAACTCTATATACATCATGTTTAAACTCGATATTCACAAATATAAACAGTTTTAAAATCGTGTCTATCTTACCAGGTGAACACGATTTCACAGCATAATTTATCACTGCACCACATAATTAATTAAAACTCTAACATGTAATATGTATTATACGGGAAAGTCTGATCTTACAAAGACTTCTTAAGATTTTCCATCCGAATGAATAGCTCCTCTATACTGTGGAACCTTTGCTTCAGAGGTCACACATATCAATTTAAATGCTGCTAAAAGTAGCATTTTGAGATGTTCAAATCCAACAACCAAAAATCGGCTGATAACCAAAAATGCCAAAAGCTAGCTTAATCAGTTATATCACTTCATATGTTCTAGTAAAGGGTAATACTTATGTGAGACCGTTTTACGATCTTAATCTGTGAGACAGGCCAAATATTTAATTAATGAGTCAAATATTTAATTAATGGATTGACTTCAATAATCAAATATATTCCACCCGTGCTCACAAATTAAGACCCGTGAAACAGTCTCACACAAATTTTTACCTTTAATATAAATACTCCGTATTTTATTGCAAATAACTTTACTTTCTTAAAATATTGAAAAAGATAAAAGACAAGCAATCCAAGTCAACATTATCAAATTCCATCCTTAAGTTTATTTTATAAATAATTAAAATATTTATAGTTAACGTAACATTACAATTATAATGTTAATATATTATAACATCCATAACAGTAGTAGTATACTAGCAGCATCACTTGTCATTTCAATAACATAAAAAATTGTCACCTTTATCCTAATTCCTAAATGTTAGTCCGTATCACAGTACTTTTTAATGTACAAAAATTAGATCAATTAGAATTTTAATTAAAGAAGACCAAAAAAAAAAAAAAAAAAAAAAAAAAAAAAAAAAAGACACTTAGTACGACAACTTCTAAGCTAAGGTAATTCAACCAATTAATGAAATACTTGGAAAAAAAAAAAAAAAAAAAACAGCTCTTTGCCACTATTCCAAAGTGTTCTCTAGATAAACCTGTCTTATTAACTTAATTGGTAAAAAATCAACAAAATATTTTAATCTATAATTGACCGGTTCACAATTGAAAAAATGCAAACTGACCAAAAAATGAAAAATATTCTTTTAAAATCCTTTAAAGCATAAAATTAAAGCTGAAATGGCATAAAATTATAAAACCACAATGATTTTAAAAAAATAATAATAAAAAAAATAATAATAATAACGAGAATGTTATCTTTAACGACAACTACGTTCTCTCTCCCTATATAAATCCAACATTCTAAGCTACCTACCTATCTCGTACAGGTTTATTATATTAAACTTGTCTGATCTCGGATCTTGATTGCAACGACGATCGACAATGGCGGCGGTGGGCAGTCTTGAGAAGAGTATCGTGCTGCGGCGGTGGTGGCGGTGCCGGAGGCGAGGCATGAGTTTTGATGCAAATATTGCGACAAGAAGTTCAACAATAAGCATGCTTTGGGAGGGCACCAGAACGCGCACCGGACGGAGAGAGCTATGGATTTGACTGCTAAGAGGACTAGACGTGGTAGCTTCATGGATTTTCCATTTTCTCCTTTCCTTGGGGTTTCTCGCCTTCTTGCTGGCGACAGCGGTCAGGTGAACTACTAGAACCAGGCACCCTCAATGCTGCCGTATTTCCTGCCTGGCTACCCCATTCCCTCGCCAGAGATTCTAGCCGCCAGGCCACCACCCTATGCTTATCCATTTTCACCTGCTGTGTCTGAAACTGGCCCACTACCCAGTAGGCCGCCGGTGGAAAATCATCCCCCTCGTGCTCGTCAGGTTTTGCTGCCGGAGATGACTATGTCTGAAGCCGGTCCACTACCAAGTAGGCCGCCGGTGGAAAATCATCCCCCTCGTGCTCGTCAGGTTTGGCTGCCGGAGATGACTATCTCTGAAACCGGCCCACTGCCCAGTAGGCCGCAGGTGAAAAATCATCCCCCTCATGCTCGTCAGGTTTGGCTGCCGGAGATGACTATGTCTGAAACCGGCCCACTGCCCAGTTGGCCGCTTGTGGAAAATCATCCCCCTCGTGCTCGACAAGTTTGGCTGCCGAAGATGACTATGTCTGAAACCGGCTCACTGCCCAGTAGGCCGCCTGTGGAAAATCATCCCCCTCGTGCTCGTCAAGTTTGGCTGTCGGAAATGACTATGTCTGAAACCGGCCCACTGCCCAGTAGGCCGCCTGTGGAAAATCATCCCCCTCGTGCTTGTCAGGTTTTGCTGCCGGAGATGACTATGTCTGAAGCCGGTCCACTACCCAGTAGGCCGCCGGTGAAAAATCATCCCCCTCGTGCTCGTCAGGTTTGGCTGCCGGAGATGACTATCTCTGAAACCGGCCCACTTCCCAGTACGCCGCCGGTGAAAAATCATCCCCCTCATGCTCATCAGGTTTGGCTGCCGGAGATGACTATGTCTGAAACCGGCCCACTGCCCAGTAGGCCGCCTGTGGAAAATCATCCCCCTCGTGCTCGTCAAGTTTGGCTGTCGGAAATGACTATGTCTGAAACCGGCCCACTGCCCAGTAGGCCGCCTATGGAAAATCATCCCCCTCGTGCTCGTCAAGATTGGCTGCCGGAGATGACTATGTCTGAAACCGGCCCACTGCCCAGTAGGCCGCCTGTGGAAAATCATCCCCCTCGTGCTCGTTAGGTTTTGCTGCCGGAGATGACTATGTTTGAAACCGGCCCACAGCCCAGTAGGCAGCCGGTGGAAAATCATCCCCCTCGTGCTCGTCAAATTTTGCTACCGGAGATTACTTTGTCTGAAATCGGCTCACTGCTAAGTAGGCCGCCGCCGGTGGAAAATCATCCCCCTCGTGCTCGTCAGGTTTTGCTGCCGGAGATGGCTATGTCTGAAATCGGCCCACTGTTCAATAGGCCGCCGGTGGAAAATCATCCCCCTCGTGCTCGTCAGGTTTTGCTACCGGAGATGACTATGTCTGAAATCGGCCCACTGTCTAGTAGGCCACCAGTGGAAAATCATCCCCCTCGTGCTCGTCAGGTTAAAAGATAAAATTATTATTTTGTAAATGATGAAATAGTCAAGGTTTATGTCTATCAAACATCGATTTTGAAATGAATTAATTTTTATTTTTTTTAGAACAATTTTGAAATGACTTAATAGAAACTGAATTTTCATTTTGGTGAAATTATTAATCAAACCAAATTATATTTTAGTTAGTCCAATTAACCAATATTTTATTTTATTTATTTATTTATTAATAATTTGGTTAATGCAATGAATTTTTAATCTTCAAATTGGATTAATTGAAAATCAAAATTTATTAAAATCTTTAATCATAAATCGAATTGACAAAGTTCATATACGGATAAAATTAACCAAAGTAATAAAGGAAAATGACCTGCAAATAAGAATTTGTATATCTTTTTTTTTTTTTTTTTTGGGTAAAGGGGTGGGGAAGACCCAGTGAGGCTAATCTCGGGTATAGGGCGTTACATAACGCACCCGGTCCATTCTCAAGAGTCCTTTGATGCACTCAGGCGGCTCATAAAATTCCATCCAGTCACATTTGCTTCTAGGTGCCATCTTAGCTAACTCGTCTGCGACAGCGTTGTTCTCGCGCATTGTATATCTTTTAACCTTTATATTTCACATAAATAAGATTGAATTATCGATGGTCAACAAAATTTGACACTATCATAAAAGACAATGAGTAATCCAAGAAGTATTTTTTCTAAATTTATAAATTTATTTTTTTTGATTACGTCAAACATAATTTTTTTGGACAGAAAAAAAAAAAAATATATATATATATATATATATATATATATATATATATATATATATATATATATATATATATATATATAATTTTTTAAATAAGTGGTGAGCAGCCTGTCAGGCCCGCGAGGATAGCGCGGGGCGGGCATAAAAAATTCACTCCTTGGTGTGCTACTATTTTCGAAATTCATTCCCTACCTAAATAAGAGGCGGGCCGGGTCGGACAGGCAAGCAAATCTCATTTTAACGTCTCTAACTACAACACATTTCTATTTAAGTATTAATTGACAAATATAGTTACTCCGTATTATTTTATTAATTAAAGACTAAAGTTGAAAATGACTTCATATATTCAATAACTAATTAAGTATAGAATCAATTAATATGTAGATTATAAATTTATAACTTAAAATGGGATATATATATATATATATATATATATATATATATATATATATATATATATATATATATATATATATATTGATGGATATATTATACCCACGACCCGACCCGGGGTAGCAACATGGCCCGGAGCACCTTGGTGGAGCCCAAGAGCAGCACGAACCCGGGGGACCACGGAGGTGCCCAAGAGCAACACGGACTCGGGAGACCACGGAGGTGCCTAAGAGCAACACGGACCCGGGGGACCACGGAGGTGCCCAAGAGCAACACGGACCCGGGGGACCACGGAGGTGCCTAAGAGCAACACGGACCCGAGGGATCACGGAGGTGCCCAAGAGCAACACGGACCCGGGGGACCATGAAGGTGCCTAAGAGCAACACGGACCTGGGGGACCACGGAGGTGCCCAAGAGCAACACGGACCCTGGGGACCACGGAGGTGCCCAAGAGCAACGCGGACCCGGAGCACCATGGAGGTGCCCCGACCCGAGCCGACCTACGTGGAGCTCGGGTCGGGGAGCTCGGGACCCGACCCGACCCGGTCCGCCGGGGCCCGGTCAAACTTGAGATCTAACCACCCCCGATTTAAGGGGAGGCGGTTGGGGGGTTTGCTTGTATAAAAACCCCCCCTCCATGTCCTAACAAAGGGCAATTCATTCTAGATTATACGATTATTACACACTTTTGTCCTACCGAATCTTTGTAATAGCCAAATACTACGGCAATTAATATAATATACGGTCCACCGCGACCTTTACGATATCGTTCTATATTATTTGTTTATTATTCTTATTATATATTCTTATCCGGGTTTATTGATTCGGGTCCACCGCGACCTTTACGATATCGTTCTATATTATTTGTTTATTATTCTTATTATATATTCTTATCAGGGTTTATTGATTCTCATAGGAGAAGACAGCCTTCACCACGCCAGAGGGGGTCTATTGCTACAAGGTTATGGCTTTCGGACTGAAAAATTCAGGTGCCACCTACACCCGAATGGTGGCCAAGGTGTTCAAGCAGGTCCTCGGTCGCAACCTCCAGGCCTATGTCGACGACATGATCGTCAAGAGCACCGATGCCGACCTCCACACAGATGACCTTACCGAGGTATTTTCAATTATGCAACGCTTCAATTTACGGCTGAACCCCAAAAAGTGCACCTTCGGGGTGCACGGGGGGAAATTTTTGGGGTACATGGTCTCGAAGAGGGGCATTGAGCCCAACCCCGACAAGGTCAAGGCCATCCTGGACATGGAACCTCCGAGGTCCCTCCGGGAGGTCCAGCGCCTCAACGGGCGATTGGCAGCCCTGGGCCGTTTCCTTTCGAGGTTGGCCGAGAAGGCCTTACCGTTCTTTGGAGTCCTAAAAAAGACTAAAGGCTTCGAATGGTCCGAGGAGTGCCAGAAGGCGTTCGAAGACCTCAAGACGTACCTGATGTCGCTCCCCCCCCCTGGCCAAACCCGTTAAGGGGGAGGTCCTGTATCTATACTTGGGCATCTCGCAGGCCGCGGTCAGCTCCGTGCTGGTCCGGGACGACGAGGGGGTCCAGCGGCCCGTATACTACACGAGCCGAGCTCTACGGGGAGCAGAGATCAGGTACACACCCGTGGAAAAGGCCATTTTTGCAGTAGATGCGACGGCAAAGAAGCTGAACCACTACATCCAGGCCCACCCCGTGCAGGTCCTCACCAACCAGCCGCTAGACGCAGTACTGAGGGCCTCGGGGTCGGCAAGCAGGCTGGTCAGGTGGGCCATGCGGCTGAGCCAGTTCGACATCCAGTTCAAGCCCCGACCCGCCATTAAGGGGCAGGCGCTGGCTGACTTTATAGTCGAGTGCACTGCCCGGGAGGCAACGGAGCGGGTCAGGGACGAAGACGAGGAGTGGTGGACCCTCTCAACGGACGGGTCCTCCAGCACCAAAAGCTGCGGAGGTGGAGTCGTCCTCATAACACCGGAGGGGTTTCGGGCCTACTACGCCCTCCGCTTCGCGTTCAAATTATCCAACAACGAGGCCGAGTATGAAGCACTCCTGGGAGGGCTCCGCCTCGCACTAAATATGAGGGTGGAGAAGCTCAAAATCCGATGTGACTCTAGACTCGTGGTGGGACAGGTCACAGGTGAATTTGAAGTAAGTGATGAAAGAATGAGGAGGTACCGGGACGTGGTGCTCCAGCTACTGGGGCAGCTGATCAATTATGAGGTCCTACAGGTACCCCGAGACCAGAACACAGATGCTGACATGTTATCCAAGCTCGCCCAAGGGGCCCCGGAACATATCTCTAAGATAGCCCGAATTGAAGATTTCAAGAGGTCAGCCTGGATGCCTACCCGGTCCTACCCGTGCAAATCCGACCTCCCTGCTGGTTGGACCACCTCAAGGAGTACAAGAAGACAGGCACGCTACCTCCTGACGAGGTCGATGCCAAGCTGGTGAAACGGCGAGCCCCCACGTACGTGGTCATGGGGGACATACTCTACAAGAGGTCCTATAACGGCGCCTTGCTACGCTGCTTGTACCCAGACGAAGCCAGGTCAGTCATGGAAGAAATCCACGAAGGGACCTGTTCAGCCCACCAGGGGGCCTTCGCCATGTCCCGGAAGGCCATCTTACAGGGGTACTTTTGGCCCAAAATGGCCAAGGAGTGCGCCGACTATGCCCGGGGTTGCGAGACCTGCCAACACTTCCAAGTCACCCCCGGCCGGCCAGCCACGAGCTACACCCCCATCAGCTCGGTCATCCCCTTCTCCAGGTGGGGAGTGGACCTAGTGGGAGCTCTGCCCATGGGGTCGGGAAAAAGGAAGTACCTCATAGTAGCAGTGGACTACTTCACCAAGTGGGTAGAGGCGGAACCGCTGGCAACCATAACAAGTGCCCGTTGCAAGCACTTTGTGTACAAAAATATTTTGTGTCGTTTCGGGGTCCCGATGCAACTCATCACCGACAACGAACGCCAATTCGAGGGGCAAGAGTTCGAGGGGTTCTGTGCAGAATGGCACATTACCCACAGCCGGGTAGCAGTATGCTACCCTCAAGCAAATGGCCAGGTGGAAAATGCCAACCGCACCATTGTGGGTGGCCTGAAAAAGAAACTGGAATCCGCGGGGGGAGCGTGGGTGGAGGAGCTCGACGCCATTCTTTGGGCCTACCGCACCACCCCCCGGAGGGCTACTGGGGAGACACCTTTTTCCTTAGCTTACGGTTTCGAAGCCCGAACTCCAGCGGAGGTAGTCATACCTTCCCGACGGGAGGAGGACTACGACCCTGACACGAACGAGGAGAACCATAGAATTGACCTCCACATGATTGATGACAGGCGCGAAGCAGCCGCGATTCGAGCTGAAAACTACCAGAGGCAGACCAAGGCATATCACGATAAGCGGGTCCGACCCCGCTATTTCCAAGTGGGTGACTATGTGCTCAGGAGAAGGGAGGCGAGCCAGCCCCAAGCCGGAGGAAAGTTTGCCCCTAATTGGGAGGGCCCGTACATTATAGCAGCC